TTTAGTAAAGGTAACAAGTTTGCTTGACCTCGACAGTAGCGCGCTAAGCGCTTACGGTTGAACTACACCTGTCAGTTTCAGTTGATAATGTAGGACACTACTAAGTAAAGCGATTTAAAAATTGGCGGGCTTGATAATTTAGATATTTAAAGCAATTTGAAGTAACATTTTCCTATTAAACAACTTTTACTTACAACTACTAAACAAACAATAAGTTTAGTGAATTTTTGTTGTAGGTATATGTTGAAAAATGGAAAATGTCACTTGTTTTAACTGAAAAATAAAATTAGTTGAAAAATAAAACACATTTTTAACAAGTTTAATTTATTTAGAATTACCATGTAATTACATGTGTCTCATTTTCTTCTAACTGCATATTTTGAACATAACAAGCACTATATCACACACTAAATTACTAAAAAATAAAAATATAATATGATAATCAGCATAGCACATGACAATGTTTTTGTTATTAAAAAAACCGGATATAGTTTTTATAAAAAGTCAAAATAGTTCATTTATAAACACAATTGTTTTAAATATCCCTAATACTGACTTAGTAATCTAAGGAAAGATCATTCTAATTCTAATATTCTTATACTTATTGTCCCTTTAAGGCCTTTACCTATCTATTTCAATCTAGAGTAGTTGTAATGCCTAGTTCGGGTACAATAAGCCTCCAGCTTCAATACAGGTGGGCTTTGAAACACACCCTAATTCAGATAGACATTTATGCACATTCCAAAAATCTTTATACCCAGGAATATCTAAAACAAAACAAAAATAGAGGTGCAGTGTGTATCTTAAAATTACAAATTAACACAAGTCATAACTTTTTTAAATTCTTATATATTTTCTTGCAATAAAAGGTATACAAATTTCAATAAAAATAGAAAACATCTGATTTATGATATTAATAGGTGAACTGTGCAAAAATTAACAAGTTGACCTAAATATCATATTAGTTTTTGAACATATTTGGGTATTATTTATAAATATATTAATGAATATCACCCAAAAATTGAACAATAACTTTTTGAGCACAAATCATTCACCTTTTTTCATCATGGTCTTTATGAGTAAAACTATGATGAGGTTCTATCTCCGGTTCTACAATATCTGTTTGTAAATTGGCTTCACACATTTCGCTCACAACTCCTTTCATTTTTTTGACCACAAATGTTCAAAATGTGAATCCATTTATCTCTAAGAGTAATAATATTACTTTAAGAGAAGCTCTACGGTTATTTTCAAAATTCGATGGACAGGGATTTAAAAAGTGTTCTTGCAAGCCAAGCAAGACACAGTGTCATAGAAATAAATGTTTATGGTTTAAAGCTCGTATGAAATGTACTAGCAAATGTCACAAAAGCGGACTATGGTGTAATAAATAATCCTAATCTATTATTTGTATTTTTATTTTAAATAGTTTAGAGTGTTTAAAATCAATGATTGAGTATAGTTCGCATGGCACACCGTCATGCGTCATTCGTATTATAAACACGATTCGCCTGGCACATCGTCAGTCGTATTATAATACGACGGATTTCATCTAGTCGGATTCTAAAACACTTGCACATCTGTTTAATTTAACAATAAGACTAACAAGCGACAAGCTTGTTATAATACGCTTGAAATGATCAAATTGTCAGAATCTTAATTATTTGGGTAGTATTATAATATGCCTAGTCGTATTGAAAAAGCCTAAGACTGATTTTACTATAAGCCTGTGACATATATCCATCTAAATTATTATCTATAAACACTTTTACGTTTTTATTATTAACAAGGTAATTTGCATTTTTATAATCCTTCATTTTAATTCTAATTCTATTCCTACCTATTGTATCAATACTTAAAATTTTGTTATCCAATTCTGGAAAATTTGTTAAAATAATATCTCCAATTTTTAATGAATTTAGCCTACCTTTCAAATCTTTGCAGTTGTTCTTCACGTATATGTGAAATGGCCCGTGGTCAGACGGCCCATACAAAATTTCTTGCCTATGTTTATTACCCTTATCGGTAATGTGTATTGTGTATTTTGCAAATTACAATCTGCGTTGTTTTTATTTACGTTTGGATTATTATTATTATCTGGGAGGTTACCTGTGGGGTTCGTGAAATCCATGTTTGTATCTTCATCATCAATAGAAATACGGGACGAAATATTGGGGTCAAGGGGTTTCCCCCTCCGAGAACACTCATAGATATTTAAATTATTATATTAAACTTATAACTATAAACTATACTAATTATTTTATGAAATTGATTTATGCCGGTAAAGACTCGAGAGCACCAATTGTAGACAACCGATTCGTACGAGAACCTGCACAAAACAGATTAAAATAGCAATACAAATTCAAGAAACAGTTTTGTTAGCATTTGAAACAATGACGAAAAACTACTAGAATAACAAATTTATTCAAAATTAATTTATTTAAATCATTCCGATTGTGATTTATATTATGAAGACATTAAAAAGAACGAGACGACTGCTAATTTGAGTGGGGATGATTTGTGCGTGTTTCTTCATCTGAGGAGCGAGCATTTGTTTTATAAATCGCGAACTTTTCTAGAAATCACCTTCAACTATGATAGTTGTAACAAGAAAAATACATTAAACTGATAACAACTGGCATTAAGAATGCAAACATACTTCCTTAATATAATTTTAGCAATAAATTTTTCTTTTTTAATAAAATATATCAAAGGAAAGAGTAAATTTAATTCAGGACATTTGATGGAAGAGATCTAAGAACGTAGGAAAAGCGTACTGCCAGAAAGATGTTGCAGACAAATTTAATGTATCTTTAATCCGATATTTTTGTGCTTGTACTGTTAGCTGATTACTGTAGTAGCGTTCGGTATTGGTCAGGTTCTGGAACAGGACAGTAGAAAAATTTTTGAAGGTGCTTTTAAATGACATTTAAGCGTGTTGAACTATCACTACTCGGGCTAAACAGAATGCCAAAAGGGTCGTTTGGAGTTAAAAGTGGTAAATAACTTAAAGGAGCTTGGCAGACCGAATGTAATGTGTGTAAATATTTCATTGGCCTATTAAATGTTTTAGTGTTAAAGTGTTTTTCTACAAAACCATGGAGAACTATTACAAAGGATACCAAACTCATCTACAAGATATGCAATATTTCAAGCGTCAAATTATGCTGCGATTAATAAAGAATTTATTTTAGCATCACCGCAACGGAGGGCTACTTGGAGCAAATGCCACGCAGTAAACTCATTCCTATCTTTTGGTTCGTTTTATTTCTTTTTGGTTAACGCATATTAAATCTAGACTATGATTTTTGTATCACTATTTTTGTAACGTCTATTTCAGTCTTATAAATATTGAGAACGTGCTTTGAAAATGGATATCAACTGAAAAGCGATAAAAATATTAAAATATGTAAGAAAGTAAACAACTTACAGTGGTGATCCTTTTTCAAATATTTAAAATTGAATTAAGTGTTATTTTAATTCAATAATTAGAAATTTTATTAAAACTCTATTGTGAGCTTAAATTATAATAATTATAAAAATTAATTTTTAATATTTGTTAAATTATATTTACAATAATAAATGTCATCTATATGAAACTTATTTATAAATAATGAAAATCCGTAATTCAAATGTAATCCGAACTCCTCATTATATCAATAGCAGTAATTGCACACTATCTCACTCGGAAATCCGTTATGAATGAGCTCAAGTTAATATGATATTGGATTTCAAGGCATTGTTTACGATGTTCTGAATTCTGATTGACATAATGGGGCCAGTCCTTTACATGTTCTTAGAGCTAATTTGCAGCTATACCAGTTTCCTGACATTCTCTTGTGTTTACGTAACTTTACCATTTATTTTTATGGTGTTTTTCAATTAGTTACAATACCGAAGTAAGAAATAGTGTAAATAAAGAGTAATTTGTTGGCCGTTCTCAGAACAACTAAGTTAAGTTTTAAGAAAATTTTTGTAATTTCCAACTAAACAAAAATCTTCACTTATGGTGGGTCGAATTTTCTAAAAACAAATAATCTGTATTTAATTCTTTTCTTCTTTGTCTACAGCTATCTGTTCTGATCTATCATTTACTGCTTCAATCTCCCTATCTTTCTGCTTGATGATAATTAATACTTAACTTACTGTTCCTTATACCATCCTTCTGCTCTCTGTTTGCTGTTTAGGATCCCGTTGTTCCTACTCTACTTCTGCGTTTTTACTTTTTCTTGGATAATAAACAATACTTTCAAATAAAACTTTATTTATTCTATTACATTTTTTTCTCCGATAATATTTAATATCTTTAACAATATTAACGTCTTTTACCATATCAACGTATTTATCAATATTAACAACTTCCACATTAATATTATTCAAAACCATCTTTGCCTCTCTCTAAAAACCAAAAATATTTACAATCTCCAAAAGTTTTCAGCAAAGCAGTATTGCTACTGACAAGGGCGGATGGGCAATATCTTAGCGGCTCGGGAAATAATATTTGATGGCCCTTTTTTATTTCCGGATATCGCTAAAATATACATTTACAGGGTGTTACGCATTTTTCCTTCAAACTTAAATAGAGCATAAGTTTATTACACATTTTTTAATCAGATTACATTTACTATTAAAAAAACGTTATTTTAGTTAAAAATCCTGGACTCCCAGTCAGATACATATATTATTCAACAAAAAAACAAAATAAAAGTAAATCAAAGTTTAAAGTTCTTTTTATTAGTGTAGAAATTAGGTTTGTTATAAACGATTAGGGAACTTAAAACTTCATTATAAATTCTTTAAACACAAAAATTTAAGAAAAAATTATTATATAAAAACTTTATTCTTTTAACAATCTATTTAATAACTTGCTTTGCAGCATATCTTTGACTCAATATTATATAAAATATCATTGAATTGCGCAATCAATTTATAATGTAATTTAACTTAGATAAAGTTTTTTCACATTTCACTTGATTTATTGATAATATTAATAAATATTTTTAAGCATTTCCTAGTGCAGAATATGCCTCACTGTACATATTGTACTTTTGAATGACATAATAACAGTAAATTGCACGGCAAGATTTGCATTTCTTATTAATAAGATCAAAACCACCATCTCTTTCAAAATCATCCTTGTCTTCTTCATCAGTTTCATCTGTTTTTATAACTGTAACATAACTCTGAAATTGTTGATTACTTTTCACATTTGTTGTTGCCGAAACTTTAAATTTATCCCAATTTTTCGAGAAACTAACCAATTCTTTTTGCAGATTTTCTTTTGTAATATTTGGGTAATAGTTTTCTAGCTAGCAGTTCACACAATTTTTTAGATTTATTTAATGGTACTCCTTGTTTAACTTCATCAAAATTTATTGGATACAATAAGACAATATCCTTATAAGGCTCACCATTATTCTTAAATCTACAATCTATAGAATTTATAATTTTATCTAAAATTCTGTCATGGGTTTTAACTTTTGGCTGTTTTACGGGATCATCTTTCGCCAATTCTCCAGCCATTTTCTTTCGCTTTCTTATTCTCTTTTCGGGAAAGAAAAATGGTGGATGTGGATTTCTTCACGGCTGTCAATTTTATCTTGCGCCCATGCAATGAAAATTTGTGTAGATGTTTTAATATCACTCATATAGTGACTTAAGGACTTTAATTATGATGTACAATTCATAATTATTTCGTGGTATCTTAGTAAGTCTAATTCGCTAGTTTGCAAATATTTCGAGACTGGACCAATAATTAAAAATAAATTTATAAAAATTTGAGCCGTTAGTAGCATTTCATAATCTATAAATTGTGTAAGCATAGTAAAAGCCTTTACACGGACATCTTCTGGCATGTTTTCAGACAATTTCATATCGTGTAATGCTAATAATACATCGATGTAAAAAGCATTGGCAGGATTTTTGTAATTTTCAGATATTTTTTTTAAAAGCTGCTTCTTTTGTCCACCAACGAGTCTCTCCAATTACTTGTAATTTTTTTTGCCTCTTACGATGTGGTTTTCTTAATATTAGTTCTTTGGTAGGATTCTTTAAAAAAATTGCAATGGAATTTAATAAGGTAAATAAAGACGCTGCATTTGTTATTTTGACGGGGTCTGACACAACTAGGTTCAGGATATGGCTGTAACACCACACATGTAATTGACTAGGTGTATTTTTAGAGAAACCTTTCTAAGCCCCTTGCATATTTGCTGCACCATCAGTGGCATTAGAAACGCAATTTTTTAGTGGAATATTTAGCGATGAAATTTCTGTTTGAATTAGTTTTAAACATACCATTCCCGGTACACCTTACAACGGAAACTAGTCTTTCAAAGTTTTCACAACCCAAAACATACCTTATTACAATTAAACATTGAACTTGCACTAAAATATCCTGTTTACTGTCCAATTGTACAGAAAATATTTCTGCTTATTGAATTTCTTCCAGAATGGATGTTTTGATCAATTCCCTTATGATTTACAATATTGAATTTACAGTTGTTTTAGATAATAAACTTACGAATGATCCAGATTTTTCATGGATATTTTTGCTTTTTTCGATGACCTCACTTAAATGTTTTTTTAAGTGTACATCATATTTAATTACTAACAATATTAATTCCAAAAAGTTACCACGGTCCAATGTGGGATCAGCTAAAGTATATGCAGCTTCATATTTCTTTCCTCTATAACCTAATCTGTCTATAATCAATAATTCTAATACTCGTTTCTTCTGGAAATGTCCTTTTATTTGCAGGGGATATAAATGTTGACCAACTTTAAAATAATGTGGCATATCATATGGGTCTTGCCAGTTAATAAAATAACGAACCAGAATTACTCCTACATCACAAAGCTTACTCGACGTTATCTTTACAAATAGAGATGACTTTGTCGCAGATTTTGGTACGATAGATCAAGATATTTCTGATCACAGAGGAGTGTATTGCAGTCTAAATCTATAAACTGTAATTCGGGGCCCAAAGTAATAAAATATAGATCTTACAAATATTTTTAGCTTAAATAGAGATCTATTAAGTATGCCTTTTGAAAATATATTACATGAAAATGATATTGAAAACAAGACAAAATTATTTAATACCTACCTTCTCTTTTTATTTGATAAACATGCGCCGTACGTTAAATCTAGAATTACAAAATCTTCTGCACCTTGGCTAACTCCTATGATGAAAATCAGAGATAAGGCACTTTATAAATATTAAAAGTTTAAAAACATCTCACTACATTTACTATAAAAATATTCGAAATACTGTTACTTCGGCTATTAGAAAAAAAAATCTGCGTATCTCGCCCACCGTTTTAAATCCGGTAGCTCTAAACAGTTTTGGAGAACAATAAATTCTTTAAATGTTAAAAATAAAGCTATAACTGAAATTTACTGAGATAAACAAATATTTTTTACTGGTTTTTACCCCTAGAAATGCCTGTCCAATAACCACTTATTATTACAACTCATTTAAATTTAAACCTGATATACGTTTTTCTTTTCGTCTTGCTACTGTTGACGAAATAAGACAAATTTTTATAAATCTCGAATCAAATGCAGTTGGTAGTGATGGTATATCCTCTAAAATGCTACAACTTTAAAATAACCAAAAAAGGTTGACAGCACGTAGTTTAGATTCAAATGGAAAGACTTGTATTTCGTGCAAAACTTTTTAATTAATAAATGCAAAGCGCTTTCGGCTTATTTGCCATCATCAGTGCTTATCTACAAAAATTGTGGATGTAAACTTACAATTTAAAAAAAATATATTATAAAATCTGAATAAGACTTTTAAGTCAAAAGTTAAAATTGTATATATACGATTGTTTGGACAAATTAACAATTACAAAGTGACAAAAAACTGGTATTGGGAATAGTGAGTGTGGGATAAGCCCTTACAAATCATATCTGATCTCCAGAAGCAAGTTAGCTTGTGTGGGATTAAGGAATTATGCCTTCTTCACTATTCACACAATTTAAAACAAGTTAACAAATTAGTTAAAATTTAATGGAATTTTACAAATAGAGGGTGACTGTGTAAGATATATTGAAATTTGAATCTAGAATACAATAGTTAATATAAAGGAAGTTAAACGCAGAAGGCCAAAGTAAAAAAGCTGAAGGTTTTTTTATTTTATATACATTATAATTATAAAAAAGTCTACCTACTGTCCACAACGTATCCAACAAGTTCCTGGTCATCCTCATTCCCAAAATTAGATATTTCGGGATATTTACAACTTGCTAAATCATAATCTTAGTATTATTAATATTTTCAAATTTAAATTTATCTATTTATTTTTATGCAAGTTGTTTCACCGTTTCCACATGACAGTGGTGACAAGAGACACTTGAACACGTTGACTTGTCAAATGTCAAAAGAAGGAGGTGCGTTCACCTCAGTGTGGAACATGTTTCTCCAAGTGTGATTCGAGTGATTGGAGGTGGTTAACGGAGATCAAAATTTGTTAGTATTGAATTTAAAGATTTGATTTATTGTTAGTTAAATTTAAATAAATGATATTATTATTTTGATGTCAAGACAAAACAAAAATGTCACTCGCGTGATTCTGATGTGCCAGCACGGGCTCTCTTTCAGAGAACCCAAAATGGCACAACTGAACCCGCGGTCCCTAAAGGTGAATCTGATTTTTAGTCCTAAAATTTACTAAATCACTCATCAAGCGTACTCATGGTAACAAAATTTTCCACAGTCACCCTCTATTTGTAAAATTCCTTTAAATTTTAACTAATTTGTTAACTTGCTCGGAAATATTTATTTTAATATTTTATGTTAATAAGACGTTGTCTACTTACTAACTATAATGAGTTTTATAATAATCATAATAAACCTAAGTTAGTTTATCTAATTTTCAATAAAAAGTTCTTTAGGCAATTTATTTTTAATCATCATATTTTAAACATTATCTCTAGTAGACCCCGTCACCTCCATTATTCCTTTTAAACCTCTAATATATCCGACAGATGAAAGCTACCCTACCCGAAAGTTATCACTTTTAATACTGAGTTGAAGAAGTCAAAGAAGAGAATTGGTTGCGTCTAAGTCTGCAGTATTTAGAGCATATTGTTAAAGTGTAACAATTACTGCATGATCATGATTTTTTTTTTATTATTGGAATTAATGTGTCTCGACTACTCTGGCCATTGACACAATAACAATTAATCTACAACTAAGGATTCATTAAAACCAACAAATAACAACTATATAAGATGGAACAAATGAGATAATTTTAAAAAATGTATGACTTAGAGTAACTGATCAGGAGAATTTAGAATTACTCGAATATTTTTTTTAACTGGAATTTTGTACCATTGTCTTTATAATAAGTACACTCCTCAAGAACATGCTTTACAGACAGGCGTTTTAGTGCTGACAAATTGGTGGTATTTCAGATTTCATTAAGTGGGCATGGGTTAGGCGGGTATGTCCAATTCTCATTCTCTTAATAACAATTTTTTCTCGTCTTGACATGAGGTAGTTTAGAGGAGTTGATCAAATGCTGAACTTCGAGCAATTTTCTTTTTAACGTGCTTCAGTGATTCTGCCATGATTCAAAAATTGATTTTTAATTTTTTTTTTTTTTAGGTCACTGTGAATTTGTACATCTTCTAGTGAGGAACCTGATAAAAGTGCTTCCTTTGCAGTTCTATCTGCCATTTCATTGCCCTGAATTCTTATGTGTGATAAAATCCAAATCAGAATAAAGGAAATTCCTAAAGAAGTCAAATAGTTGCAAGTATCATGGATATTTTGAACTAGCGGATGTTAAGTGTAGAGATTTTGCATGGATTAAATAGAAGTTAAAGAATCTGTACAAATTGCCACATGTGCATCTTCTTGAGTTATAGGCTTAAATTTCTATACAATTCACCAGTGTAGACACTACATAACGATGGAAGCAGAGAAGTTTTAATAGTAGTTGAAGTGGTGGTTACTGAGAAGCTAACATTCGTTTCATTTTTTGATGCGTCTGTAAAGAGGAATTTATTGTGTCCATTTAATAGGCAATAATATTTTATAAATAAATTTCACTAACTCACATACGTGCTATTATAACGAATGTGATTTCTGAAACAGACGTAATTATCAATACACAACTTTTTAATCTATACATTTTAGCATTTAAATTAGATTAACAGAATTGTAAAGGCGTTCTTAACACCGTATAGTTAAGATGGTCCATAGAGTTTTTAAAGTTTAATCAGCCAGAGCCCAGTGGCATACCAAAAAATAGAGATTAACCCGTATAAAATAAAAATATTAAAATTAAATTTAGATTTTTATGTTATTTATGTTATTTAAAAATGTGTTTTTATAAAATTAAACTGGTTGTTCACTGCATAAATGAACCATTGAAGAAACCGCCCATGCTTAGGAACTAACAACTTGTTACCAGTGCCGTGCATTTAAACGATTTATCTTACCTTTTATTTTATCCATGCTTTCTTTCCTTATGAATTGTCAATAGCCACTCCTTAGTTATTAATTTTTCCTTAATTTATTTTAATTTTTATTGGAAAAATATATACATCGTAACATACCCTTAAAATTTAATGCCATGTCATATCATAACCTCTCTGGAGTTTTTAACATCCTTTTAAATGATTTTTGGTTTTAGTAATAAAATTATTATTATTATATTCATACTTTTAAGATATTATAATATTAACCGTTAACAATATATATTGTTCATATTACTATTACCCGAACTTACCCCTTGTGCTTCGACATGAACCTGCCATAATTAGCAGTTCAAATTGAGCAATTGTTGTAAAACAATTAAAGTAGGACCGAGAATTAGAATTTCCTTCGATTATGTTCAGGTGCAATATATCTCGCAGATCCACTTCCGTATAATTGCAAATTAAGCTTTACTTGATGCAATTATGTTGTAAGTGCAAAGTTAAAGGGTAATGGATATTAGTTGAATGCGCGAATTGGAAATTTTGCAATAAAGGTCGATTTGGTTTTACCTGTCACGAAGAATTTCAAGTGTTATAGATTTTAGTGCGTTTTTGCCAATTGTAGTTTAGAATATTCGAACGAC